ATTCTCTCCATCAGAAAAGAGTTTGTAGGCCACAGTCAGACACAAGCAGCAAGTCTCGCTTGTTGAATAAAAAGCTCAGTATTACAAGCAGCACCTGTGAGTTTCTCCACCTTAATCTCCTCCTCTGCCACCTGGCTGCAGCTTCTAAACTTGAGGTAAGACTGCCACTTACTGTTAGACTCATCGCATTACAGTTTGAAACCAGTTCCTAAATCTTTGATTCTAAATGCCAAATGCAAAAGACTTAGCAGGAAAGGTACCAGTTAACCTTTGAAAGCTTACTAACTACCAGAAATTAGGCTTAGTGCTTTGTAGCCATAATCTCACTTAGGCCCTAGAACAAACCTATAATTTTTATTTTGTGGTTATTAAGTGGTTTTGTGAAAACACTCCAGGGTTTAGAATCTAATCACCTAGATCAGAACCTCTGGCCAAATTCATTTGGCTGCCTGTTTTTTGTACAGTTCACAGGCTAAGAATTATTTTAACATGTTTAAATGATTGGGGGAAAAAATCAAAATAATATTTCATAACATGAAAATTATTTAAATTCAGGTTTCAATGTCCATATCTAAAGCTGGAACACATCCATGCTCATTTGTTTATATATTTTCTGTGGCTGCCTTTGTACCATATAAGAGAGTACTTATAATGCCTGAAATATTTACTAACTGGCTCTTTACAGAAAAAGTTTGTTGACTCCTGACCTAGAATCTAATCTGGAAACACCACCTGAGCAAACTACAAAACTGACCCCCACTTTCATAAAGTGGCGGTGATAGCTACTAAGAGGGAGTTTTAGGAAGTTTAGTGCTATACACACAGCATCTCCTTAAGATAACAGCAGAATTCTGACAAAAATGCTTTAAAATGTTCAAAGGGAGCTCATAATCTCTGTCTACAAATCTTCCTCAGTCCAGTATCATGTAGTGTATAAGAATATGGATTTTAGGGGCTTCCCTGGTGGCGCAGTGGTTGAGAGTCCGCCTGCCGATGCAGGGAACATGGGTTCGTGCTCCGGTCCGGGAAGATCCCACATGCCACGGGGCGGCTGGGCCTGTGAGCCATGGCCGCTGAGCCTGCGCGTCCGGAGCCTGTGTTCCACAAAGGCAGAGGCAGTGAGAGGCCCGCGTACCGCAAAAAAAAAAAAAAAAAAAAAAAAAAAGAGTATGGATTTTAGGGTCAAAATATCAGATTCCACTTGACTCCATTACTTATTACCTATGATTTATTAACTATATGATGCAGTACAGAGGTGACAGAGTATGAAGGTTGACTGCTTAGGCTTTGAAACTAGAATGTTTCAATCCAGGCTTTGCCACTCACTAGCTTGGTGACCTCGGGTAAATGACACCTCTCTGAGCCTCTGCTTCCTCATCTGTAACATAGGTGTAAGAATCATAATGATTTCAATGGGTTGTTTTGAGGATAAAAACGGCTTTTCATCCATAAAGTGATTAGAACAGTGCCAACAAAGTGCTAGCAGGCTGCCCCAAAATATGCTACGACGGCATACTGAACTAAGAAATGGCCAATGGAGGAGGGACACTCTGACCCCCACTTTCTGTTTCCCCCAAAGCAAAAAATAAACCTCTCCCATGAAAGGTGCACTCCCTGCAGTAAAGGTAAAAGGACACCCTTATTGCCTGAGAGAAGGAATTTGAGCCAAGAAGCCTATACAAACCTTGTTACTTCTTTAATTTACTACCCCAAGCCCCAATTGTTTAGATTCTTCACTAACTGAGCACCCAAAACCTAAGTTTCTTTGTCCTGTCAATTCCTCAGAAATTCAGTGTTTGTCTAAAGAGTATATATGCTTTGGCTACTTCTTAGGTCCCATTTCTATGAGACCTCCCTGTATAAGAATTAAAATGTCTCCTCCTGCTAATTTATCTTGCCTCAATTTTCTTATTAGTCCAACCACAAGAACTCGAGAGGGGTGGAGGGGGAAATTTCCCTCTCTCCAACACTTCCCGTCAGATTTAGGATATAACAAACTCCTTCCCTTGGCCTTCTAAGTCCTGTAACCTGACCTCCATCTGCTTCTCTAGCTCCAACCTCCTCCCTCCCTATGCTGCGGCCATAATAGCCTTTTCCCCCAAATCATGCCAACTTTTAGTTGTCTCATGAGACACTTGCACTTGCTGTTTCCTGTGACCTCAGGACCCAGGATACGTCTTTTCTCTCAAATACAACACAGCACAGTTGAAATGGCCTTCCAACACCCTTAACAACTGTGAACATAGAAACATAACTTGAAAAGAGAAGATAATGTGGACAAGGCGTTTTGAGCAGGAAATAGGAATATAATTGGAAGTAAGATTCTTCTGTTATAACGGCTGAATGGTTAAAGCAAGAACTTATACCTTCAAAAATTAACCTATTTGTTTTCCTGTTTATCTTTCTTCCATTTTCCTTCCCACTCCTCATACCCCCAGCAACTAAACCAGTATCAGGAATAGAGAGGAACACAATATCCACTAAATGAATGCAAGGAATAAATGAACTTAAAGGGAGGGGTGGACCTCCTCCCCCCACACACTGACATGCTGGGGTCTGTCAGATTCTTACAGAATCTGTCCCCAGCTGAATGGCCCAGTTGGAATCAGGTGTGCCACCCCTAACTCCTCCCTCCGAACTGGTTAATTTTTCACCTTTTTTTTTTTTTTTTTTTTTTTTTTTTTTTTGTTGGAATCAGGTGTGCCACCCCTAACTCCTCCCTCCGAACTGGTTAATTTTTTCCCTTTTTTTTTTTTTTTTTTTTTTTTTTTGTTTTTGAGAGACAACTCCCAGAGAGTGGTATAGAAAGACCTAACACTCGGGAATCATTAGCAGCCATGTTCTGCACCCGTACCATCAAAGAATTTGGTTTGTAGAGAATGAAGCTAACAGAAAAGCCAGAAAGGAGAGACAGAGGGTTCTGGATCAGGTTTGAGTCCCAGTTGCCCTACAGACCCTCCCAGTCCTTCATGGTTTGGATGTTCAACTTATGTAACACAGTATCCTTTCAACAAATTCATCTTTTGCTTAAACTAGTTCAATAGAGAGTACTGACTAATGTAATCCTCCTTTATCCTACTGCACAGTAGAGTCATCTACAGATTTCTTAAAACCAATACCAGGGCCCCAGTCCGGAACAATGAAACCAGAATCCTGGTGGTCTGGGGCCCAGGCATTGGTAATCTCAAAAGTTGCCCAGGTTATTCTTCCAGATATTTCACTTTGAGGAATCAATCTATCAGGAATATTCATTAGGACCAGGTGTGCAGAGATGTATTTTAATCCTCATAGACTGAATCTCTATATAAACTTTGAAATTTGTAACAACTATCAGACCACTAGTGCTCCTTCAACCCATTATACCAGGAGTTCACGTCAGAATTCTTTAGAGTTTATGCCAGGTCCCACCCACAGACCTACAAGATCGGGTCCTCCCAAGATCAGAATTTAAGATTCCACGTGAAATTTTAATCTCTTAATCCTTCTCTCCAACAAACACACATTGTATACAAATGATGTCGTGACTCTCTTAAGGATGTGATAATGTGATTCAGTTAGTTTTTTCCATGCAAGGAATTGTAAGGCAGCCAAAAATTGGTTTTGTACCTCTTAGCCCAGCACCCTCCTCAAGGTTGTAAAAAGATTGAGGTCTTCTTTACAAAGGAGATTCTTTTGGAGAGTCGCTCAAGTGTTGAGCAATGTCTACCTTGCCCCGCCACCGGGAGATGAGGGGGTTCCCCTCCCCCTTTAATTTAAGCTTAAGAGAGCCTGGACTGTGTCTCCTGAAGTCTCTGGAGTCCAAAAATCTATACCAAACACATATCAGGAAAAAACAAATGAGACTTGCCAACTAAGTGCCTAATAGAGGGGTTGTCTACTTGGAAACAGCCTACACTCCCCAGATTTTTAAAGAAAAGGATGCATGAATGTTTCACATACCGAACCGGCCTGTGGCCACTTTAAACTGGACTTTGCCAGCTTATCTGGCAAAAGGCCTTACCATTTTCAGTGATTCTTAATCTTGAGCCTACATGGGAATCACCTGAGGGCTCTTTAAACCACAGTTTGTTGAGCCCCACCCCTAGAGTTCGATTTAAGATGTGTGGGGTGCACCTGAGAATTTGCATTTCTAACCAGTCCCCAAGTGATACCAATGCTGCTGGTCCAGGACTACGCTTTGAGAACCACTGGCCTTTATTAAGAGAAAGGCTGGCAGCCACCCTCAGACACAAGGCAGACTCTCCATCAAGATTTTGCCGGAAGAGAAGCTGGAGAACAGAAAAGAAGGTGCAGAAATGAAATCTCGGTGCTCAAAACAGGCTGACTTCTTATTCACGTGGTGAAGTCACATCAGTGGGGGTTGGGATGGGGACTGGGAGAGGGTGGAGTTAATGAAAGGAGGGCCTAGTCTTCAGGCTTTCAAGGACCCGAAATGACTGAACTTTTGCCATCTTCAAGTGGCTTCCAAAGTTTCCCTGGGTGTGACCATCAAACCAGCAGATAAGAAGAGAAATTTTTATGGGGCAGGCCTGGATTTTTACACCACATTCCACTGCTAAGAACTCAGTCACATGGCCTCACAGAGATGCAAGAGGAATGGGGGGAACATAGTCCCTAGCAGGGCAGCATATCTCAGGCGAGCAAGAATCTCTGGTGGACATCCAGCAGTCTCTGCCATCAAAGCCCCTTCCCAGGGCAGGCTTCCAGCCTTAAGCAAGCCTGAGTTTAGGAAATGTATAGGTAATTACACAGATATTTTAATTATTAAAATGAATGTGACTAAAAGTGATCAAAGGACTTCTTAGTGACTGTAAAAAAGTTCTGGGACCCATCCAGGATAGGGACAAGAGGCTGAGACAGAGTGTTTGCAGGAGCAGCCCAGAGGAAAAAAAAACTGCTGTTTTATAACTCTCCAGGGTTCCTCTCTTTTAACATGTTACACTATTCCTTTTTAGAGATTAACCAAATTTTTAAGTGAAATAAATCTAAGGATTTCATAATTTCATATTTATAAAGTTAGATATCCTTTATTATCTATCATTCTTAAAGCAAATGACAAATCTACTTTTCAGGGATGAAAACCTACTATTATTGAGGATATCTTCAAAGTTTACTGAAACTCCGAAAACAGGGATGTTCCACACAATAGAGGCAAACACTGCTTTTATTAAGGTGATTACTCTTAATGTAGGCATACTCATTTACCTAGGCTTGCCATAAAGTGAAATGACATAAACTGCCTGTGACGTCTAACAATTGAGAAAGTTGGAGAGTCAAGCTGCTTGCAAGACTTCTAGTGCTATCTCTTTTGAGACTCTCTAAAAGTGAATTAACTAATATATATGCTATTTACTGAAACAAAAAAAAAAAAGAAGAAAAAGAAACATCCTTCACGGTCTTTCATTCATTTCGTCAATTAGGACACACAAAGCAGCATCTTTCTCTATAATCTGATCTCTCCTATGACCTGAATTTTCTCTTTGTTGTTCATCCTGTCCAGCACAATTGTTGCTATCATCAGCATCCACTGGTTCAGTTTTTACTCTCAGCCCTGCTTCCGAATGGGGCAAATCATCAGGCAAAGAAGCCAAGCAATTCTGAATCATCTCAATGACTCGTTCCAGATGCTTCTGAAATCTCTCAGCTGTCTCAAGGCGTTGACGTTTCTGCACCTCCATCATGACTCTCAAGGTCTCTCTTGCTTGGTGGGGTCGGTATTCATTTATGAGATGATGCACATGTACAAAAAGCAGCTTAAGATCTTCTAGCTTCTCTTCTCGTTTTATACTCCCAGGGCTCCTTATCAAGATATCTAAGAGGTCTAAGAAATTAATAAGGATAGACATATTGAGTTTTCTCAGTTCTTTCTTGTGATCAAACTGCATAGGATGAAGCCGTTCGATACCCTGACTTTCTAAAGGGCGGATGATAAGATCATCACACTGAAACTGGTTGCCGAACATCATATAACTGTCCCTTATTGGAGGTGGAGGCTTGGGAGCGAGGCCTTCCTGAATATTTTCATCTGTATACTCCTTGATGTACTGCATCGGAGGGGGTGGGAGGGCGCTTACTTGCTGTGGCTCACCCATTGTGGAAGATCAAGAACCTACAGAAATGGACCATCAGACAAAAAATAAGAAAAAAAAAATCACACACACACACACATAGAAATAGACCAAAGATTGAGAGTGGAGCTACAAAACAAACCTGTCACATTCAGCGACTAATGACAGAACATTTTCCCTTTTCTCCCCTGGCAGTTTGGCACCCAGGACAAAATGATCTCCCTGGTCTCTAAAACTAACATTTACAACAGGGAAAGGCTGCATCCTTTTCTAATTAGCAATATATACTGAATCATCGTATTTTTCCTGCTCTACTTAATACTTTCATTGGCACAAAAAATATACTGTAGTATACACTTGACCCCTGAGAAACACAGGTTTGAACTTGCATGGGTCCACTTACATGTGGATTTTTTTTCAATAGTAAATACTAGAGTATTACAAGATCCATGGTTGGTTGAATCCTCAGATGCAGAACCGCAAATATGACGGAACTGCAGATACGAAAGGTCAACTCTAAGTTATACTCAGATTTTCAACTGCACAGAGGGTGGGCACCCCTAACCTCCCAGTTGTTCAAGGATCAACTGTATTTTCATCTATAAATTAAATCATCTGGATTCCACACCCCTCACCAGTTATGCGTCACTTCTCTACCCTCCCTACAGCCAAACTACACATGCTGTCTTCCCATCTCATGTTACAATCACTCGTTTTATATTATAGATTGATCTCCAAAAGCAAACACTTATAACTAAGGAACACTCTGACAAAATTAAAATTACTATATTCCAGACAAACTCACATCATCTTATCTTCTTCCTTTTTTCCTACAATGTACTCTACAATTTTTTATAGACTCATTAACTTTTCTCCATCTACTACAGAAATTTCAAATTCAACTATACCTTCAATAGCCACAATAACCTCCATCTACTCCATCTGAAGCTTAGGTATATCATAAAATGAGAATATCCCGAGTGCTCACTTAGATGGATCTTACCAGATTTTCAAGATAACATAACACCATCCAACATGAGAGATAGCAAGTAATATACTGGAGGCAGTTTTATACTTGGAATTTGTGAGGTAATAAGGGCAGCTGTGGGGCAGCCCTGAGTTTCCACCAACCCACAGCAGTGAACTGGCTGCTGCTGAGAATCAGTCTGTCAGTGGCCATGGGCATGATGAGTTACTCTAACTGTATCAACCCACACTTCACTGCTTTACTAGCCTTCTGCATATTCATTTTTGTCACTATCCGATCTGGCGTCAACCTTCTACCTCCACAAAAACTGCTCGTCACGGCCATCAACAACCACCCCATGACCAAATCCAATGGACATTTTTCTAAGCTGATCTTAATCTCTCAGCAGCATTTTCTTCCTTTTCAACACACTCCCCTCTCCCTCAGCTTCTGTGATGCTACATTTACGTCTTCCTCCTATCACACTGGCCGCTGCCTCTCTGTCTCCTTTACTGCCCCTCCTTCTCTAGCCAAATTTTAATGCTGGCATATGCCTCAGAGACTCACAAACTCAAAACCCAAAGGGAAAAAGGCAGGCAACATAAAGAGTGAAGGAGAACTGAGCATCTCCAAGCCAGACCTCAAAGCCTCTAGCCACTAGCATTCATGTGCAAATGAAGATTCACTGTTCCTTCGTCTTGAGTTTTCAAGTAAGGCAAAAAAAATCCAGATTTTTATGTGAAATTTCTCAATTTTTAAAAATACTGGCAATTAATTGCAGAAATTGTCAAATACTGTGAGGTCAAAAAATATTTATCTCCAACAGTCTTTGTGGTCTGCTGGCCACTAGTTTTAGGCCTTTGTTTTATGTTCTCCCTGGGATGATCTCAGTCAATTCCATAGCTTTTAATACCATTTCTATCCGTGGTTCTCAACCAGGTGTCATTTTGCCAACCAGAAGATATATGCAAGTTCTGGAGACACCTTTAGTTGCCACAACCAGGGAGGGGGTGCTACTGGCTTCTAATGAGTAAAGGCTGGGGATGCTATAAACATACAATGCACAGCAACAAAGAATTATCCAGCCCAAAATGTCAATAGATTGTGCCAAAGTGGAGAAACCCTGGTCTATATTTATGACTCTTGACTTTGTTTTTAAATTTAAGTATACTTAATTTACAATATTGTGTTAGTTTCAGGTGTACAGCAAAGTGATTCAGTTATTTTTTTCAGATTATATTCCATTATAGGTTATTATAAGATATTAAATATAATTCCCTGTGCTATACAGTAAATCCTTTTTGCTTACCTATTTTATGTATATTAGTTTGTCCGTTAATCCCATACTCCTAATTTGCCCCTCTCTCTCTCTCCCCTTTGGCAACCATAAGTTTGTTTTCTGTCTGTGAGTCTGTTTTGTACATAGATTCGTTTGTATTATTTTTAGATTCCACATATAAGTGATATAGTATTTGTCTTTCTTTTCTTGACTCTTGACTTTTTATCTCCAGTCCAGACTGCGTGCGTCTGGGCTGCTCCTGGATGTCTCACAGGGCATTCAAACTTAAAAGAAAAAAAGAAAGTTCTTTTGAGTCCATCTACCATAAATACACACACCCTAAACCTGTTCCTCTCATAGCTTCTACTCTTTCCTGTTTCAGTAAAATGTCCCCATTATCCACCTAGTATTTCAAGCCAGAAACCTAAAGGTTATCTTAATCCTCCTTTTTTTACCAATCTCCTCTCCTCACCATCACTGCCAAATTTATCAAGAACCAAAACTTCGCTATCTCACTATCTCAAGTTCATCAGTTCTGATCAAGACACCATTCCCTCTTACCTGGAATACAATGGCTTCCCAGGGATCTTTTTGATTTCACTACAGTTCTTCTATATAATAGCCAGCCTAATTCTCATACCACATTCCTTCCCCCTCATATCCTAGCATATTGTCTTCTAGTATTTGTTGGTAGCTCCATTCATTTCAAGAAGGCTTCAAATCAATGGGAATTTGGAAGTAGGTATAAACATCTTTAATGTTTATTTACTCTTCCAAATATTTACTGTTTGTCTAACGTATGACGATGATTATAATGACAGATAACACTTGAGTACATAGTATGTGCCAGACACTGTGCTAAATACTTTTCTCATGGTTGCGAGAAATCTGAGAAAAGGTGCTCTTTCCATTTCAGAGATGAGATCTCCGTGGCTCACAAAAGTTGATCCACTTGCGTAAAGTCACAGAGTAAAGGAGCCAGAGCCTAAAGATCTCAAACACTACATCATACTATCTTTCAAGGATAAACATGGCCTCCATCCTTGCGTTGCTTACAATCTATAAAGGAAAACAGACAAATAGCTAACTACATGTTTTAAGGTTACTACAAAAGACCAACAGATCTGACTACCAAAGATAAATCTAAAAATTCTATATAGGAAAATATATCATAAGCAAAATTAAAAGACAATCCCATTTTTCTGGGAGAAGAATGCCTGCAAGCCCACAAGGGCAAATATTAGAAATTTAATTTTGATTTTTTAAAAACATATTTTCTGATTCCATCCCCACAAGAAAAGCACTATGACTTCAGCAGTTACCTGTCTTATTCACAACTCTACCTCCAGTACCTTAAACAAGGCCTAGAAGGTGCTAAATCCTCAATAAAGATCCACTGAGTTTTTTTTTAAACCTATATATTTTTTTAAAAAATAATAGAAAAATAGGCAAAAGATGAGAAAAATGCAAATGCTGAATAAAGGCAGGAAAATATTCAGACAAACACACGGTTAAAAGCGAATTTTAAAAAGGAGTCTTTTCATCTAACAGACTATCAAGATTTCACATACTCCATCATCTGACAAATGTTAGAACACCTTCTATGTGGCAGGCCCTGGATTCCAGCACAGGTCACACTCTCCTTCCTCTCAGTTTCTTCAGAGTGGCCATCCCAATTTTAGAAGCAGGCTCTTAGCTCCTCTGGCCCTGCAGGGAAGCCTACTGTGGTGGAGAGCATCCATTCCCCTCAGCTCTCACAGAAGCCACCATGACAGCCATCACATAACACTCTCAGGTGGCAGGCCAGTACTGCCAAGAGAATATGGGGAATCCTCAGACACAACTGACAGGAAAGGAAACGAATATATTTGTTTGGAATTTGACCTGACATTATCAAAAATTTTAATGCTGATATTCTTTGACCCAATCATTCTTTTCTTTTAATTTTTATTTTATACTGGAGTATAGTTGATTAACAATGTTGTGTGACCCAACAATTCTATTTCTAGAAATTTATCCTACAAAAATATTGGTACAAGTAAACAAAAGTGTGTTTAAGGATGTTTAACGCAGCATTGTTTGAAAAGAGCAGGAAAAGCTGGAAACAGCCCATAACTTCATCAATATGAGGGCTGGATAAAATGTCTATATATACACACAACACAGCCATTAAGAAAAAAGGGGTGAAAGTGCATGGGATGGAGGGTTATAAACACTGTGTACCATTTCATTTATTTACAACACACTTACGAGTTGCAAATAGTTATAATCAACTTTTTAAAACTTCCAAAAACATCAATTCGGACTTATAGAAAAGCTGTATGAATAGTATAAAGAATATTCCGTATTCTTCACTCAGACTCTCCAAATGTTAACACTTTCCCTCATTTGCCTTATTGGTCTCTCATCTCTGCACCCGCAAATACTTCAGTGGGTATCCCCCAAATAAGAATGTTCTCTTATAACCACATAATTACCAAAATCAGAGAATTAGCAATGATCTGGTACTTCAAAATAAATTTCAGACAGCCCAGGTTTCACCCCACTCAAACCTTTTTAGATTGGAAGCCCAGTTTTGGGCCTCCCAGCACCATGTGTAATCCTCTACTTTGGCTGCCAATCCCCAAAGAGCAAGTAAGTGACAGGTACCACTGTTTCACATCCTCTCTTAGTTAATCTTCAAACCAATTCTATGAGTTAAGTAGTATTTTCAATTTCATTTTAGAGATGAGGATCCCAAGTCTGTCTCACCAAGGGGAAGTGTCTGCAACCAGATCAAAGGCCAGTAAATGGCACAGCAGG